TGAGCTAAAACAAGTAACTAAGAGCCCATGGAAAACCATGGATGAAAAGGATGCTAGCACCTTCCCTTTTCATAATCTACCCCCCGAACCCAAAAACAATCTCAAAGGTATTTCCTGTGCTTTTTTACCTTTCCTTTTGGATAAAATAAAAGTCGGTGTCGACTCTTGCTAAACCTCAACATTTGCGAACACAAATGCAAAACCTCAAGTCAGTTCTCCCACCGCATCACATTATGTATGATATATGTATGCAATGTTTTCAAGGATCTCGCGGGGTAAACAAAAAATTTCGGAAGTTGAAACTTTGCAGCTTTAATTGAAGAACTTTGTATTGTTGAGAGTCCTTATACAAGAGTCAAGCTCACCATATCAAGTGGGTCATATCCCCTGACTTAAGTTGTCGTGTTTTGGTCTTTTGACGGCATTGGATAGAGAAAAATAAATCCCCTTGCCCCTTGCTAGACGTCTGATTCGCCATAACCTGCATCACAAACCCTTGAGATCCTCGAAATGGTTAAGGAAATGTTGTGGCATGATGTTATGATGCGTATGATATGCATTAAGAAAAGATGTAAGGTGCCAAACACAACCCTGCAAAGAATTCAAGTTGTTAGACAATGAAGGCAAACAAGTTGCACAAGCAGTCTTAGGTTTAGGCTTGCATGGGGTTTGTAGGTAAGTACCCTCTTGGAGTTTAGTTGGTTTCAAACCTGTCTTAGAAAAGTAACCGGGTCCTAAGGATTCTCAATATCACTGATCATCCTTTATCAGGCGTTGTTTCCGCTCAGGAAATCTTTTCTTGCGGCCTAAATATCCCGAAAGTATGATCTCAATGAGTGTAGCATCGAGTATCAACCAATCCTCAGCTTTATACAGAGGTCGATTATCTCACTACTTTCTAATGGCCAAGTTTGTTCAACTAAGGTTCTAAGGTCCGTTAGTACTTCACGACACCATGTGGCGGCCCCGTATTCTCCTCGTTTCCACACGAAAGATACCGGTACCAACCAAAGTATCACACCAACACAGCCATCGCTTAAACAATATCGGTTTATGCGGTATAGTCTCCATGATCTATTGTTGTTTACCTAAAAAGTGTCCCCAGATCTGGGTGTAGGATCTTCAACAATACCCAAACAAAACCTTTAAGGATAAAGCAGATAAAACAAACCAAGAAAGCAGTTTTAAAATGATCTAGACCCTAAGGTAAACTCCACTTTATAATTATCCCCGACAGAGTCGCCAGTTCTGTGATACGGTGGCAGAACTGACTGTTAATACTGGTTTGCGTTTTATGTTCCCAAATGTCACGGTAAGCAAGCGTCGTCACCGACTTTTATTTCATCCAATAAAGGAAAAGGGAAAAGAATAGAAAAAAAAAACCTTTTTCGAGATGTTTCTGAGTACGGGGGGTAGATTATAGAAAGGGAAGGTGTTAGCACCCTTTCCATCCATGGTTTTCCATGGGCTCTTAGGTACTTGCTCATTTTTAAATTGCTTTTGTGTCTTTTTGAAAAGTTTTGAAATTTGCCTTAGTGCGGTGTTTCACTTTACGGCAACCCTTGTATCAGTCCTCAAGGGTGCGATAAAATGTTTTTTGAAAACTTTAGTTTGAAAAATCTTGTTTGAAAGTGTATGGTGTAAAAGTTTGTTTGAGCAAGTACTTAAGATTTTCTACCTACTCGAAAAAGGCTATTCATTTTCTTATTTCCTTTGGACAGTGTTATCCTACTATTAAGGAGTAGGTAGCTCCATTGTTGGAGTTTAGGGGTCAATCGAAAGGGACGAAAGGGATAATTACGATCACTAAAGCAATGGTTAGGAAACCTTAGTAATTACCCTAGAGTCCTAAAGATCTTTCCGAGGCAACATTCGAATAGGTCATTTTTTATCTTTCGGAACTAGAGGGCAACCACTAAAACTCCCTATACTTCATGACCGTTTACCGAAGGCAACCGAAGTGGGGAAAACCCTAGGAGTGAACATGTGCACGTGTTTATTTTTTAGTTTACTTATCTTTGCAAGATTAGAGTTTTCTACTGTATTAATTTGATTTATCTTTTGCATGCAAGCCTATTATCCATACATCTAGACAGTTTATAGTTGCAGAAAATTAAAAGCGAAAAAGTAAATCTACGCTATTACAAGGCTTCGGGGAGGGGGTTACATAACCAAAAACTGGGGATTGAACAGTAAAATAATAATCAGCAAAATAAACCCTAATTAAAGGCTATTACAAACTCGAAGCAAATACAATAATTGGACTTAAAAATAAAATATTGTGCGCGCGACGAATTAAATATGGGAATCAAAATCTAAAATCAAAGGAAATCAAAGAAAATATTTTTTGTTGTTTTTTGATTGAGAAATTTAACTATTTGCAAATTAACCCTAATTTTCTAATTGATTTTAATTATAAGAAAAAGAATTTAAATTTCCCAAGTTAAATTAATCTAATTAATTAATGAAATAAAATATTTTATGAAAAATCTTATTTTAATATTTTTGTGATTTTTTGATTTAATAAAAAAATGATTTTGTTTTTTTGTAAAAATAATTAAACAAATAATTAAAATAAATAAAAGAAATTAAAAATAAAAATTGGATCGGGCCTAGTGTGAAAGCAGTCCTGGAGGTGTGAAGAAGAATTTGCTAAGCCCAGATTTGCACAAGTCCAATTGCTTGCGTGAGATCTAGTACTGAGTATGCCTGAGGGTCCACCATGGGGACATGCTTGTAGAGCGTTGGATCTGACCTTGTAGTAATCTGATGGGTAACAACTGGAGATGCATGGTGGACACGCTTGAACCCCAAGGCACAGGATCTGCAAACAATTATTAGGGAAAATAAAATGTAGGAGGCATGGATCGAACCCCTGACCTCCTACACACGACCGCCCTGAAACCCTTCGCTTGTACCACTTAACCAGCTTTCCATTCGTTAATATAAACACACAACAAATAATATATTGAATAATGAATCAAGGTTATAGGAAAAACGCGCGAGATTCAAACTGTCCACCCACACCTTGACACGCCTTCATCTTCTTCAAATAAATTGTCGTTTTAGACCCAGGGTTGTACCTACAGACACGCCCATTGCTATAAACTTGCAATCCTCAAAAATCATATCTAGGCAACATAAGTCAAATCAAATTACACAAATCAATTAGGTTTGATCTCATGAATGCAATGGTATCCATCTTTGGCCTTGATTTTACTTGAAACAAAAAGCCTCAAAAGGAAGCTTTAAACCCTAACAATGGCATATGTCCATACAAGCATAAAAACTCATAATTAACTATACCAACAGCTTCTAAAAGATAATACAAACATGAATGGATGTCTAAAAATCATTTATAACGCGTAAATATTTAAAATCAAATTCAAGAATGGAGGACAAACATTGATATCGTTATGGAGCGTTCTGAAGGCGTTGATGTGTGAAAGTGATGTTGTTAGCTTCAGGAGGTTGCCAAGATTGGATTGTTGGCCTTGAAACACTTTGAGTCACCCTGTATAACGAAATCCGATTCTCACTTTTTGTCCAAAAATTGAGTTTTTGTTCTTGCAGTTTACACGACCAACCCTTGTTCTCTTGCTCTCGGAATGTTGTGGACATATAAGAGACTGATTTAGGTTAACAAAATTGGACTGTATCTTCACACATTATTGAGATTTGATTTGATTTTGTTCCTTACATTATTTGTTTCTAAAACAAGCCAAATTATGATCTTTTCCAATCAATTAGCTCTTGCACGATTTGGATGATTTTCTAGCTGTTCATTGACTCATAATATGCTCATAAAATCAAATATTGGATTTTATTTCATTATTCTACTATTAAAATTGATTTATTTTGATTTAAATGGATAAAAAATCAAAATAAATAATAAAAATAATAAAATAATAGGTGGATAAGCTCAGGGGTCGTGGGCCATCTTAGGAACAAGTTTCAAACAAGAAAACATAAGCCCATTTGGAGAAAAAAAAAGGTCATTTTGATTGGAAAAAAAGGCCCATTTGGAGAAAAAAAAGGTCATTTTGATTGGAAAAAAAGGCCCATTTGGAACAAGTTAAGCGAGGACCTGGGTGCGGAACCACGGGTCATTATCGAGTTTCGGGGAACGACTAAATAATGTGTAACAGTTATTCTCATTATGTAATCGTTCAATTGTTATTGAAAATCAAACTTTCATTAAGCAAAATTGTTTGGCTATTGTCTTTTATTTAAAATTGAAAGGACAAAATTGACCCACAAAAGCACTTAAGCGTCATCTGAGATGACTTAGGGCAAACACATGACACCTATGCGTCATCTCATTTGGCGCCTCCATATAAAAAGTAAGAGATGCGCCATCTGGATTGACTCCTCTGTTTAAGTATATTATGAAACATGACAATTTGTATAATTTTCTCTGAAACATTGATTATTTGTGTTTTTTTTTTTTAAATATAGTTATTTCTAAAAAAACATTCTTTTTATGCTAAAATACAATATTTGATGAAAGAATATGATTTATCCAAGAGCTTGAAAAAAGATATGGTTTTTGTTGAGGCTATTTAGAATATCCTCATATTCTACTAAATAAAACTTCATTTATGATATTAATTATACTTAGTATGAGACTAATAAAGTAATTTTTAGTGATTAAAGTCCAGAGTAAATCAAGTATTACACTCCAATAGTAAAGAAGCTCATGCTATAGACGCAGTCCGAGAAATATCTAATTCGAATTGTTGACTTTCCCTGAAAACCATAATGCGAAAGCCAAACAATAAATAAATTAAATTACATAGTACATTTAAACATCAATAGTGATTGCAAGTGCATCTTTTTTTTTTTGCATTTGACAGTTTTTTACATTCCAAGCTACTTGTTTCATTCAGACAATGAAACAACATTGATAAAAACAAAAGTGATAACAAAGAAAAAGCTTCATGATACAAAAATAAATAAATAAAACAGTTGCAACAAACATGGAAAAGTTGTTTTTCCTCTTATTTTCTGCTAAACAAGCTTCTCAATTTCCCTCTTTCCAATCTCTCAAGCAACTTTTTAGCTCCTGGAATCTCCATCTCAATAAGCTTCTTCAAATACCCTATTGCTCCATAAGAAATCATCAACTTCTTACACTTCTTACATGAAGAAAGTGATCCTAGACAACAAACTGCATACTTTTTTGCAGTATTCTGTGGACTAGGATCAAGCAACTGTACCAAACTCGGCACGCTTTTAACGTCCTTTTTAACTTCTCGCCTATTCTGTGACAGAATCATCAAACTCGCAATTGCTTGTGCTGCAAGTTCTCTAGCAGTGTTTGCTTTCGCCTCAAGCATGTTGATCAATAGAGGTATGCAACCGACTTCACCTAGTATTTTCTTCATCTCGATCGAGCTGTAAATCCTGCATATAACCGAGGCTGCGTTTTGTTTCGCGCCTAATGATCCTGACTTCAAAATATGGACCAGACAAGAAAGAACTCCGAGAGAAACCAAAGTTTCTTCGGAAACCAATCCGACGAGATTCTTCAACGCGCCTACAGCTAGTAGGACAACCAATTCATGCAAGAATGATTTGGGTGGAAAAAGATTTGATTGGAGCAAATTTGGAAAGACATCATATGCCATGAAAGACCAAATCAAATCTTCAAAATGGGCAAGATTCAATTCGTTTTTGTTGACCTAATATGTTGCAGTACATATACAGAAGGAATCCAAGGCAAGAAAAGAGGTTGAGCAGCCGTGAAAGAGGATGAATAAATTTCAAAATTTCAAAGAAAAAGTGTAGATCGAATTCCAAGTTACAGGCCATCTCAAGCCATCCTAACCTTACCAATCGATTGTTGGACGTCTCAGGAACATGTTCCAATCACTAGTAAGCCTCCCCACGTCCTGAAAAACTTTGTAGCAGTAACACGGTTAGTCTAAAAAACTCGTTTTCGTTTTCATTGATTTATACATCATTTGCACGTTTTGGTTACATATTCTTTTTCCTTATTGAGTTTGCAAGCTAATCATTCTATTCAATTGCATTTTTGATGACTGTATGTAAAATTGCCATGGCTAGGGTTTCTTGTTTAGTTTTAGGGCTTTGCAATACAGGTTAAATTGGACGTTGATTCTGGTACCATGATATTCGTGAGGATGAGACGAGTTGATTGGTGCCAGCCATGGTCATTTATCTTGTCTGTGGACAATTTTTGAGATACACAGGTTTGTAGCTACAATGCAGCGTCCGTAGGTAAAAATATCTTGGGCTAAAATGATGGTTGGGAGGAAGAAGATGGATGCGTGGCACTCCCTGGTTGGGTGGTTTGAATCTTAGCGTGTTTTTTTCCAATAACCATTATTTTGCATATATTATAGCTTGTTTTCGTTATATGTACAAATAAGTCAAATAGCTCAGATGGCTGGGGCGAAGGCCTTTGATGCACACGTCCTGGGTTCGATCCCAGGCGTGTGCATTTTATTATTTTCTTGCCCATTTTAGGTAGATCTCACACAACACAATAGCATACGCCTACTATACACCTTTGTGTTCCACCATCAGATCCATCAGCCAGGTGGATCCAACGTCACGTAGCAAGGGGCCTACCATGCTCCTCAAGTCAGCGTGCATACTGGATTGAACAAAGTCAAACGGGCCATCAACCTTGGGCCCAGAAAATTCATATTCCAACCCCTCAATTTCTAAGCACATGCCCATTATTCCCTTCTTTTTCTTTTATTTTATTTAAATCTTTCAATACTTATTTTTATTTTTTTAATTCACAAATTAATCTTTTTTTTATATAAAAGTCATAAAATCAATAATTCACAAAAATTAGGATTATTTTTTATTATTATTATTATCAAAGTTAATTTAATTTAGTTTAACTTAGGAAATTGTAATTTGTTTTCATAAATAAACCCAAATAGAAAATTAGGTTATCTCTTGATTTAATTTAATTTTCTCTTTTTTTTCAAATAAATAAAAATACAAAAATAGGTTTTTTTAAGATTAAAATCAACTTATCTTTCTTAATTTAAAATTAATTAGAGCTAGGATTTTCTTTTTAGTTTAATTGTTTCTTTATTTTCTTACAAAACAAAAACATTTTTTTAATCAACCGTCAATAGGTTTAGTCAAGGGTCAAAACCCTAGTTGTCTCGTATTTGATCCATCGCGCGCGTGTTCTTTGTTTTTTCCAATATTTTTGTAACTGTCCATGGTTTGTAATAGTTTAATCTAGGACTTTTTACTTATCGCTTTTCCCCGGGTTTTTGGCTATGTAATTAATCCCCCTCCCCAAAGCCTTGTAATAGCATAGATTTACTTTCTCGCATTTTAATTCCCGCAAATATTTGACTGTTTAGATGTATGCTAATAGGATTGTATGACAAGAATGCATGACAAATTTAATACAGTTAGAAAACCCTAATGTGCAAAGACAAATAACTGAAAACAGATCACTCGCACATATCACTCTTAGGGTATACTCTCACTTTGGTTGCCTTCGGTAAACGATCATTAAACATAAGGTGTCTTAGTGGTTGCCCTCATGTCTAACAAAGATCAAATGTCCCATTCGAATGTTGCCTCGGAAATGTTGCCTCGAATATGATCTTAAAACTCTAGGGTTATTACTAAGGTGTCCTAATATTGCTTTAGTGATCGTACGTCCCTTTCGAATTGACCCTTACAATTCCAACGACGGTGCTACCTATTTCTCAATAGTAGGATAGCGCTGTCTAAAGGAAACAAGAATAGAAACGATCTTTTTTCGAGTAGGTAGGTGTTAGTAGGTACTTGCTCAAATCCAAAAAATTTCACACTTACACATTTCAAAACAATTTGCAAAACAACTTCGTCACACCTTTGAGGACTGATACAAGGGTTATCACAAAGTCAAACTTTTCAAAACAAAGCACCTACACAAGCAATTTTTAAAAGATGAGCAAGTACCTAAGAGCCCATGGAAAACCATGGATAAAAAGGGTGCTAACACATTCCCTTTCTATAATCTACCCCCGTACTCAAAATATCTTGAAAAAGGATTTTTTCTGTACTTTTTTCCTTTCTGGTTGGATGAAATAAAAGTTGGTGGCGACTCTTGCTTACCGCGACATTTTGCGAACACAAAATGCAAAATGCAAACCAGCGTCAAACAGTCGGTTCTGCAACCGTATCACAGAACTGGCGACTCTGGTGGGGAATTATAAGTGGGGTATACCTTAGGATCTAGTTCATCATAATTGCTTCCCTTGATTGCTTTGTTTGCTTTACTTTTAAGGGTTTTGTTTGGGGTTACTATAGATCCTAACCTGGATCTGGGGATACCTTTTAGGTAAGTAGCAATAGACTGTAAGGGAACTGTACAACGTAGACTGATACGGTTGAAGCAGTAGCTACATTGATGTGGCACATTGGTTGGTACCGGTATCCCTTGTGGAGAAACGAGGAGAATATGGGGCCGTTGTGTGGTGTCGTTAAGCATCAAATGACCTTAGAACCTTTAATCACCTAACTTGGCCATTAGAAAGTAGTGAGATAGTCGGCCTTAGTGTAAAGCTGAGAACTGGTTGATACTCGATGCTACACTCATCGAGACCATACTCTCGAGATAGTTCCGGCCGCAAGAAAATATTGCGTGAGCTGAAACCATGACCGATGGAGGATGGTCAGTGATATTGAGACCCTCTAGAACCCGGTTACTTTTTATAGGATAGGTTTGAACCAACTTAACTTCAAGAGGGTATTACCTTTGACCTCATGCAAGCCTTAAACCTAAGGGTTTTGTGTGATTTGATTGTGTTTGCAATACATGTTGTTTGCTATAACTGTGGTTTATTATGACATTATGCATCATAACATGGCATTCATACTTCATTACACTAACCATTTCAAAGACTAGGGAAATTTATCTTTGTTCTGTTTTGCAGATCATGGCTTCCGTGCGTAGAAATACCATCCGAGTCAACTTTGTGCAAATACCTGCCCAACTTAAAGAGCTAGCCTTAAGAGTTTCTGAGACTTCTATGTTCATTAAGAGACACGGCCAACTTCTCAGCCTGGTTACTTTAAATCTTGATGAACAGATGATGAGCGTACTATTTCAGTTCTTCGATCCCGTGCATCATTGCTTCACCTTTCCATATTACCAGCTGGTACCCACCTTGGAAGATTTCTCTCATCTATTGGGTATATCCATCCTTGAACAGGTACCCTTCACAGGTATGGAAGAAGTTCCTAGACTAGAAGACATTGCCTCAACTCTGCATTTGAAACAGGCTGATGTAGTATCCAATTGGGAAACACGAAGCGGGGTCGAAGGTTTTCTAGCCAAATTTCTGATAGACCAGGCTCAACTATTTTGGGATAATTTGGATTTTCAGGCTTTTGAAGATGTCTTGGCTCTTCTTATCTATGGTTTGGTTCTCTTCCCTAATCCGGACTCCTTTGTAGATATGAATGCTGTCAAGATTTTCCTTTCTCGTAACCCTGTGCCTACCTTGCTGGGAGATATCTTGCATGCTCTCTATACTCGTACTATGAGGAGAAGAGGGACTCTTATGTGTTGCATGTCGTTGCTGTCGAGGTGGTTTATTTCTCACCTCCCTAAGTCTGTGCTGAAGAACGAAGAAGGTTTGGGTTGGTCCTACAGAATAATTTCACTTGCTCATACAGATATTCTTTGGTGTTCTCGGGCTATGGAAGACACTGCTGTTATTGACCATTGTGGGGGATACCCTAATGTCCCATTGCTTGGAATCAGATATTTTTTAGTATTTTTGTCTTAAAAATAAATTTATAGGATTATAAAATATTTTTGATCTTTTTATATTTTAAAATAATATATTTGAAAGGTGTAAAAGAAATTAACTAAAACCCCAGTTTTTTAATTAAATTACAATTTAGTCAAAATAAAATAAAGTATGATTAAGTTAATTAACTTTTGTGAGAAAAAATAAGTAAACTATGTTAAAAATATAAATCTACTATTTTTATATTTTTTATGATTTTTTAGTATTAGAAAAATAATTAAGAAAATAAATAAAAAATGAAAATAAGAAAAGAAAACAAAACTGGGCCAGGGTCTGTGTAAGTGAAACAAGGGTTTAGCAACAAGAAAAAAAAACATAAAGGCCCAAAGGAGGCCCAACGCATGCCAAAAAAGTCAGAATGTATGCAAAAAAAATGGAAAAAATCCAAAAGGGGGGTACCACTGGGGCTCGAACTCAGGTCCCTTAAGTCACAGGCGCGCGCTTCTACCACTGGGGTGGCTATACATACGTTTATATAAATCAAACCATAAATTTATATGGTAAACACGTTCCTAAGGCCAACTTCATCTTCAACCTCACGCCCAGCCAGAAGCTCTATATCTCATTCAAATCTCAACAAAAATGAAAACTGTAAACATGAAACTTGTAGCAAATTTCCTCACGATTTCAGAAATGCAAAGCAAAATGATTATAGCTCAAAGATAAACATGAATTTTAATCGCCCTATTCTGAACCCTAAAAATCTCAGAAATTTCAATCTTAAAATTCTCTAAGCTCAAGCAAAATTAATGGAAACTATGGACATGGATAGCTTTAGGGCAATGATATCTACATGTTTCATTCACAAATAAATCATTGATGAT